AGCTCAAATTGCATCTGATAGGCACCTTTTTTGTTGAAAATTTTATTTTCAAAATTTAACCTTTTTCTGACCTGAAAGTGACCGGACCTCCGGTAAATTCAGCTGAAAATGACCTCAAATGACACAGACGACATTGTTAATGTTTTCGAAATCTACGAATAAACCATAAAACTTGCGTCACGTGACCGATACATGATATACAATTTTCGTGACCTAGGATGACTTCACCTGAAAAATTCGAAGTAAAAGTTCGGTACCCTCAGGGTATCTAAGGCATATATCAAGGAGTGCGTAAACCAAAAAATGAGCCTGCTATTACTTGTCAGCCGGCGGTCAGAGCCTAAATTGTGAACAAGCAAAAATGCCGATAATGTTTACTTTGACCTGACTTGTGACGTCATTGGTGACCTTGAGGTAAATGAAATAGATTTCGCTCGACAGTTTTTCCAGGGTTATCACACACCGTTTGAATTTTGACGATCGGCCCAGTAGTTTCGGATATAGGAGGGGGGGGGGGGCTCTGGAGAGCCCCCCTCAGTCATTCGCGTTATGGAAAATACCCCAATGCGCGGGTTAAACAATCTTATCATAGGAGTAATTCTGTAGTTAGGCACATATTTTTTTGCGTGCTGAATTTTTAGATGCCCAATGGACAAGTATATGAATGCTCCCGACTATGACACGATGACTGTTTACTGTGTTTAGGTACATCACTGGGCGCCTCGAGCACGGACATTTGTGACACACGGGCTAGGATAAATAAACAGAAGTCAAGAGCTCGCTTATCCAGGGTCACCGCCCAGTGATTTTCCACCAGATACCAAAACACATCGGCTCCGCCTGGACCGGTGAGCTGCAGCGCATGCAGGCAGGCCTCAGCCATGTGCCGCTCCTTGCGGCCTTGTTTCCAGGGTTGTATACCAATCAAGTCGATTGAATTGATTGATTTGTTTCAACGCGTATTTTGAGTTGATTGGATTGAGTCGATTGACTTTTCGAGATGACTGGTTGACTGACTCGTTTGGCTTTAGCGACTGGTTGACTGATTTGATTCCCGAAAATTAGAGTGACTCGTATGATTGAGTCGATTGAATGGAAAGTTCAAATAAGTTTTAGTTGACGAAAAATAATGACACCAATTGATGACATCAAAGATCACAAAACTACACTGAAAACTGCTTGTCATCACAACTGCAATATGGGGTAGAAGGCCAAATAAAGAACAGGGCCTAAACATGAACAGCCAACTTTGACTTTCAACTGCAATAACTGCTCCAATCCTTAGTTTATTTAGCATATCATCCACGGGTAAGATGACCCATTTAGAGACAAAGTCATCAGAACAAAAACACGTCCTGGTGATATCCTGGTGATAGAACCTGGCGATGCACCTACCTACCTTTCTGCACTCAGCAGGAAACGTTTTTTTTTAATCCAGATGATAAAGTGCAAGGCCCTATATACTAATAAGTGTGATTAATTAACCCGCGCCCCACTGGGGTCTGCGTATAACACGCCCTACTGGGGGGGGGAGGCTATTCATAGCCCCCCCTCCTAACTCCGAAACTACTGGGCCGATCGTCAAAATTCAAACGGTGTCTGATAGCCCCGGAAAAACTGTCGAACAAAACCTAATTTCATTGACCTCGAGGTCACCGATGACGTCACAGGTCAGGTCAAAGTAAAAATTATTAGCATTTTGGCTTCTTCACGTTTTGGGCTCTGGCCGCCGTCTTACATGTCAGATCAGGCTCATTTTTGGTTCACACACTCGTGAACAGATGCTCTAGATACTCTGAGGGTACCAAACTTGTACTTTGATTTTCAGGTCAAGGTCAGGTCATCACAGGTCACGAAAATATTATCATCCGTCGGTCACGTGACACATGTTTTATGGTCCATTTAGGTCAGAGATTTCGAATTTGATGTCGTCTGTGACATTCGAGGTCATTTTGAGTCAAATTTAGCTCAGGTCAGGTCACTTTCAGGTCAAAAAAGTCAAATTTTGAAGTTAAAATTTTTCAACACAAAAGGTGTCTATTGGATGCAGTTTGGGCTCAGGAGCACGATGGTGCTATTTATATTGGCGTACGATGTCAAATTCATGCTGAAAAATTGATTTGAAAAATTAATAATTGTTAATTTTTTGCAATAATGCGTATAACTTGGCCATTTTTGAAGATATTTAGCTAAAACTTGCTAGAGTTAGTCATAATAATGCGTTCTATCACATATATTCCGGTTTTTTTCGAAAAGTAAAAAAAAAATGAAAAAAATGTAAAAATATAAATTTTGAGTTTTATTATATAAAATTTCCAAATTTTTTAAAGATTCGAAAATCCGAGATAGCAGTTTGATAGCGCAGTCTATTCTGAGTCCTCTCATGCAAAGAAATTGGATCTAGCTTAAAAACTGAGCTCTTGGAAGCGATTGCCGTGGTTCAATGTTTTGCGTCGAAATCGGCCGAACATGACGTCACTCTGACGTCATTTCCGGCTGACCTATGGTAGGTACGAAGTTCAAATTTTGACACAAGGTGTCAAATTGATGCAGCCAAAGGTACTGAAAGTTTGGCGTCGATACGTCAAGCGGTTTGGAAGTTATTGCAGAAAAACGGGAGGGGGGGCTATAAATAGCCCCCCCAGTGGGGCGCGGGCTAACAATTCACACCTCCACATCTCCTCAGAAACAACCCACTGAACTCTATAAATATCTGAAACCCCTACAAAATAGCTGAAACAAAAGCGCCGTTTTCGTCTCGCTAATTACGTTTACGGGCCTAATTAATAGCTAATTTGCTGCATTGTTTAATTTGCAGCAGAACGTTTGTTGATCCTTTTCTCCTGAGAGCCTAAGCAGAAAGCATGACATATTAAATATATTTCATTTTCCTTAAAATATGTTACCGAATATTATTAATAGTGGTTTTATTTCAAATGATATAATAATCAAAACGAAATTGGTGTTGTACAACCGATTTATTTTATGATGAGCTACCATACTACATGATAATCAATGACGTCATCTTACCAAAAAATCAAAAGACGTAGAATAAGGATTTATAAAAGCTTAGCATACTTATTGGCAAAAAACGCAGTCTCACCGTGCCGTTTTCGCGTTTTAATTTTCCTTCACTATGATCTTGCAATTTATCAACTTTGTTTCATAAATGTACCAGATTTATCACAGGCTATATTCATAAGGAAAGGAAGGAATGATTGACCTACCTCACAGGTACTTACCTATCTACCTTCGTTGGTACTGTTGGTAGCCAGTGGACACATCTAGGCAGGTAAGTAGGTACCTACCTGCTTTCCTGCTGTCTTCATAAAGCATACCTAATGAAGTTGTCAAATTTGTAGCACATTTTCAACACTTTCATATGGTGTCAGTGTGGCATGAAACCTAGCTAGGTTCATTATGTTCAGGATTCATTTCAGAAGAGCTCCGCATAACTCACATAAGAGACAGACAGGGGCTTTACATGAGGTAGATGGCCTGATGACTTAGCTGGAATATGGCCAAAATTAAATTGACAACTTTTAGGTGAAAGGTGGTGATTTGGGTTAAGGGGCGAGTCAACTACTGGGTTATTTTGCACCCATTAAATGAAACTTCTGCTCCAATTCTATACCCATTGAACCTCAATATCATGATCCACCTGTCCATCACTAGGCATCCTTCCTTATGACATAGAAACTTTGAATGGCATGGTAATTTATAATTTTAAATGACAATATTTTTGTTTCTTCTGTAGGTAGGTAGGTAGGTAGGTAGGTACACTAGACTGCTATGGACACTTTTCCAAGTTGGTGGGGCAAAAAACCTAATGCATATCTTGGTTTGAGTCGTTTGATTGAGTTGATTGATTCCTTTCATTGTCGCGTTTGAGTCGATTGAATCAATTCCCGAAAACTGCTCTGACTTGATTGATTTGATTGGTTTCCCAAATTTGTCGTGATTGAATTGATTGCTATTGATTGAGTCGTATACAACCCTGCTTGTTTCGCTGTTATTGCCCAAACGCTCTGCGCTAGCTGCCTCGGTGCAGAACATGTCACCCATCCATGCACCGCACCAGTCGCGACGGTCTGCCTGCAGTATCCGCGGATCCCGAGCTGAGTGGCTCGCGCGCTGCTGAGATCCCCCGAGATGGATGGTCCTGTTGCTGAATTGATCATTCCCTTCGCGGATTGATAATATTCCGTCTAAGAAGCTTCTCCCCACTGCTTCCTCACACTTGGACACTGACAACACGCTTTGGCAACATTACAACAGTTGCAATAGAATCTATAAAACAACAATGTCGCGTATTGATGGATAAGGGTACCGATCAACGGATAGGTATGCCGTATTGTGTCGGCTTGTTATATAATTTGACAGCGCCTGGTGATAAAGTCAGAGGACGTCAGGACGTCCACTGGATGGCATACATTTCCCGTCTGGATTGTTTATACCAGCCAGGCGTTTTATAAAGGCTATGTGACCAGGACAGCGCGCTGTGAACTCGGCCCGAACTGCCCTGTTTAGTTGTGTAACAGCGGGAGGTGACAGTCGGATCAACGCTCCTGGAGTAGAGTGCTTCTGACCACCGCTCCTCCCGGTGGGGATACGACCTTCACGACGGAGAGGACATCGGACGACTGTGGTGTGGCTGGCTACATAGACAGACTCGAGAAACTGAGGTGAACTGAAGTGAGCTCTACCGAAACGGCCTGAGCTGATCTGAGCTGAGGTGAAGGTGTGTCCGTCGGTGCTCGAGTGTTCTCTTGGTTTTGCTCTGTCCATCCAGCGGACTTCCTTAATTAATGAACGGTTTGTGACCCTGCTACCCTGAACAGAAAGGACCGTTAACGAAGACCCACCAATTGCCTGAATCTGTTGGTGACCAAGGCTAGCTACCCAGACTGGTGACCCAGACTGGTGACCCAGACTGGCGACCCAGACAGGTGACCCTCCACCGCTCTGCCTGCGATCTCCCTCTGACTCCAGTCACTGCAATGACCTCTGTGTGGCACGAGCTGGCGGCCGGCAGTGTGGGCGGCATGGCCGGTATCCTGGTGGGCCACCCCGCCGACACCATCAAGGTCCGCCAGCAGACGCTCGGCGGCTCTCCTCTGGCCACCCTGCGCACCACACTGAAACACGAGGGCACGCGCGGCCTCTACAAAGGCATGGCGTTTCCCCTGGTCACTAACGGCCTGCTGAACGCCATCTACTTCGGCGCGTACTCGGGCGCACTGCGAGGCCTGGACTGGGCGCTGGGCGGCCCGGCGGGCGGCGGCTCCGCCGACAGGCCGCCCGACACGGGTCGGCTGTTCGTGGCCGGCTGCGTGGGCGGCGTGGCGCAGCTGGTGGTCGCCACGCCCGTGGACCTGGTGAAGATTCAGCTGCAGACGCGCACTGAGGGCGCCGGCTGGCGCGCGCACTACACGACCGCGGCGCGCGGTCCGCTCGGCTGTCTGGCCGAGCTGTACCGGCGGCGCGGTGTGCGCGGCTGGTACCACGGTCTGGGCGCCATGGCCGGCCGAGACGTGGCCTCGTTCGGCCTCTACATCACGCTGTACGAGCGGGCCAGCTGGGAGCTGCGCCGGCGCGCGGCGGTGTCGCGGCGCGGCGCCGCCCTGCTGGCCGGAGCTGGCCGGCACCGCCGCCTGGCTCTCTATCTTGCCGTTGGACGTGATCAAGAGCAAGCTGCAGGCGGACGACCCCGCGGCCGCTGTACCGCGGCGTGGTGCACTGCGCGCGGCTCACAGTCCTCCGGGACGGGCCGCGAGCCCTGTTCGCCGGCGGCACGCTGCTGGCGGCGCGAGCGTTTGTGGTGAACGCCGTCATCTTCCTGGGTTATGAGTGTGGTCTGGAGGCGATCCACTGGCTGGAGTACCGACCGAACTCCACTGCCGTGCTAGCGTCGTCGGGAGAGGACTAGGAGTACCGAAATATGCCTATAGGTTCACGTTCAACGACATTTAATGGTACAGAGAACAATTGAAAATAGGAATGAAAATATACCTACTTGTGATCAATGCATCACCGTTCGATCCGAACGTTACAAACCTGATCCCATTGTTGGTAGGAAGATGTGGTCACATTGTTTCCATCCCGTGGTAAGTGCATTTGTCTTATAATAAATGTTTCTTTATCAGTGTTTCCATTTTCAGTGCATATTACTCGTCCCCATTTGGCAAAAGGAAAGCATACCTAACTTGTATTCCATCGCTTACCTCTCCTGCTTTTGAGAAGAGCTCATAATTCTCAGCACAAACTGATTCTTAATCACCAGGTCTGCTTGCTAATTCTGAATACTGACGAGACGAGTGGCGAGCTGTGTATCCGGCGGCCGGCGCTAACGCGTTTCATTGTGACAAACGTGTCTAGAAAGCATATAGGCAACCCGCAGTACACAAATGCACGGCGGGCCAGTATCATGGGCACTCGGTATACCGAGTTATTGAACGTAACGCAGCGTATTTATGATAATATTTGAATCGCATATTTAAGGTGCCCACTGCCATTAGAATCACATCGTATGTAATTCATGCATATACCTACGAGATGCGTATATACCTGTTTATGAAAAAGTAATTTCCTGCGCCATGAAATAAATACTTACGCGCACTGGCGGATCCAGACTTGCGTTTTTGGGGGGGGGGGGCCAACTCATGCAGGAGCCAAACCTAGGGTACCCCCAAATCCTGTTTTCTCATCGGATTTAGGCCACTTATTTTTCGTCACAGCCCTGACATTATGAATATTTTTTTTTAACCAAAAATAAAAATATATAAATGGTAGCCCACCCGACCCATGCCTTTATATTACTTTGTAAACACTTACTATTGCTTTTGTCGACCAGTTAACCCGCTTCGAGTCAGTGCTTGGGTCCCTTTGCGGGCCGGGAGATGGTAAACGGGAGGTGGTCTAACTCGGCTCCTGGGCCAGGCACTGATTGAACTGTGCTTCATTATCGCTTGGGGAGGGGGCAAACGGGTCACTTTAGGCCTCTGGGAAGGGGGCATGGCCCTAAATGCCCCCTCCATGGATCCGCCAGTGTAAGAGACCATTGGAGCTGCAGTTGAGTACCTCAGACGTCAGGGTACGTCCTCAGATGTATAGGACTCGCATGGAGACCTCTTATGCTATAGTGGACTGAAAGGACCCAAAGGAGCCTGTCTAGGGCTCCCGGAGATAGACGTGGGCCCTCAGGAGCCCGCCAGAGCCCCCAATGAGGGATAAGTGAGGGATACCAAGTGCCTGCAATTGCATATTGCATAAGCCATAACGCCATTACAAATCAATATAATATGTACCAGTGGCAGATCCAAGGGGGGCCACATGGGTCATGACCCCCCTTGGTGCCCGGGGGTACAGGGACCCGCAGTTGCTACTGTACACATATATTACCAATTTAGAATTGCGCTATTATTTGCTAAGTGCTGGCCATTGGAGAAAGGAAATGTAGCGCAAAGTATGGAGGAATAACACATGTTTGCTCCTAGCACGTATGTTTTGTATAATTCCTCTTACCGCAACAGATATTCTTCCAAAACTACAATCGTGCTATTTTTCCGCGCCGGCTGCCTCCCCAGAGCCCGTCCTTGGTATCGCCTATAGCTTCCGTTCCCGCTACATGAATGAAAGTCACGTGACTACTACAGGTTTGCGCTCAGTACTAACACACCTAGCCCGAGGGCCGGTCCGTAGCGGGGAGGGGTAGAACGCCTGAGCTCCAGCGCAGTGGAGGTGGTGGTGGCCCGTATCATAAAGAGGCAACCGTAAGCAGAACTACAATTCCCGCAGTATAAGACTATGATCAAGTTTTCTTTAAATGTATTGATTGACAAGAAAGTGCAATGTTTATCCGATATAAAAACGGTGTGCAAGGCCTTGGAAGAACTATAAAACATATTCAGCAACGTATAAATTTCTGATACAGGCCATGACCTTTCACCTTGCCTCCGGGGAGGACCGCTCAGGAAGCCACATACCGAACGAATCGAGGCCTCGCAGCGCGGCGGCAGAGGAGGTGGATAAACCATCGCCAGATCTTTCGATTACTTATGTTTCCAGAAGAAGGAGGGGGGGTGGAGGGGGGCTATTTTCAACCCACTCACCAATCCTTTCCTTATTAACTTATAGCTTACCGAAAAATGAAACACAATGGTGGCCGTCACGAGGTGTAGCGAAGAGTGCCTCAGCCACACCGGTTTTGAGTAAACTTTAAGCACTCGAATTCAGGCCAGTGATCCTGAAGCATTATTTTCAACCCACTCACCAATCCTTTCCTTATTAACTTATAGCTTACCGAAAAATGAAACACAATGGTGGCCGTCACGAGGTGTAGCGAAGAGTGCCTCAGCCACACCGGTTTTGAGTAAACTTTAAGCACTCGAATTCAGGCCAGTGATCCTGAAGCATTATTTTATTTTTGTCGTGCATAAGCTGGGATAACGTGGTCCAAGTTAATTGCGAAGAAACGGTTTTAGTTTCAGAACGTTTATGAGGCTAGTCGCGCCAAATAGTATACGTTTGTTGTAAAATGTCAAATAGCATGTTGACGTGCTATCCAGATGATGGAATTTATTTGACACAAGAAGTCAAAAAGTGGCATCGTTAGTCATCCTGCATACCTATAAATCGATTCGTCACCTTGGTTCGAGCTCAATAGTTCTTTTCGCGGATGATCGGTTTCGTTTTCTTTTATTTGGGGGGGGGGGCAGTTTATGAGCCAGTAACCACCCTCCTCAGCCCCCCCAAACAACCATTGTTGACAAATACTGTGATGGCCTAAAAAAAAATGCCCTCAATTGTGTAACGTAGGGAAGAATGAGGTAAGTTGAGCCGCTTTTGTTTTTCGTAAGCTACAGGCTAACTTACTGATCATTTTTCTGCGTTTACGAGTTGGACGGACAGACTGGTCATCGCGCATGTAATGGTGGCCAGAAATGTTTCATACCGCTTATTTTTGTACTGAAAGGCTACGTCAAAAATCATCTTGCACGTTGCTCATCTTACCCCATGGGCGGGGTAAGTTGAGACACGTCGTGGGGAAAGTTGAGCATGGAAGGAAAAAGCGAACCTCTTCTTTTCCCGGGCGCGGCGAAGAGTGGGCTCTTTTATTTACTCCATGACATACATACTTATGGCAAAGTTTTTTCCTCCATCAAAAAGTGACTGTTTTAAGCCTTCCAATAACTCGTCAAGTTTTCTATCACGAAAGAAATCATTTTATCCTTCAGATAATCTGCAAATCACTTACAACTTGTGTTATCAACAAAGAAAAACAATTTCCTACCATTTTTTCAGCAGATACAAGCGCAGCTCAGTTTGGTTTTCGACAGCGGAGACAACAATGGCTTATCCGTCTCATCTTCCCCCAGGTGAAAATGGCTCATCTTGCCCCACCCGTGGCCATTTTCGATTAATGACACCCGCTAAGGAAAATAACCATGCACCGCAGATAACAACCATCTCATTTTAAAGGCAAAACATGTCTTAGTTATCAGGGGCGATACCACATGTTACCGGGTGCTGAGCGTGAGAACGTTGCCGTCTCACGTGAAAGACTACAGCATCGTAAGCGAACGGCACATGGAAGCTCAAGTCAATCAGCGCCAGAGGAGCTGAGAAACATGGGGTGGCTAAACTTGCCCCTTGGCTCATCTATACCTCACTCTCCCCTATTTGGGGCTCGCAACCTTGATTCGTTAGAGTTATTTGTCTGTTCATTATAAAAGCTGTCAAATTTGCCGTATCATTAAACTTTTATTGAGCTTTTATTTCACACTTATCTAAAATAAACAATTTTGTCACTGGCTTCTTTTATGAATGGAATTGGATGGTCGCATGTATGAACGAATGAATAGCTCCATTTGAGCATCAGCTGAAATCAATCCTAAAATTTAATCTACCAGTCTGCAACGAAAAGGTTTAAAAACCAGTGCAAGTTAGGTGCAGTTTCTAATCTATGCCGTTTTTTATTTAGTGTCTCATAGTTCAATTAATCCTGAGCCGCTTCTCTCACGATTCATTTTATGTGTTGCTTACATTGTTCAAGAAGTTATATTATTCGAGCTCGTTGGTCTTAAAAACTGCTATCGAAGTAAATCAAAGTGTTTCGGGCTTCGGCACTTAAAAAGCAATCGATATTTAACCCTCACCTATTTAGGCATTTCTTTTCAGCGTCTTACATGTAGCGGAGGGGCGTAGAAACCCTCAGCCATTCGGCCCTTGATAAAAAGAGCCAGAGCTTCGCTGAAAATAAAAAAAGAGCGTGCTGCTCGTGACGAGAGAAATCTGATGATTTGAGGGTTCTGGTCATCGCTGACGAGAAAAAGCCAATTATTTGTATGTCCTGGTCAATGCTGAGATCCTAGGTCACTGGTTGACCTCCCAGATCAGGTTAATAACCCAAAAGCACGGAAATTTGGGTCCTGCTAGAATTTCTACAAGTGAAGTTTGCTAGGACTTGGCTTGCTTCTGACTCCGAATTTGCACTTGCTTTGATCAAAGATGATGTATCAAAGCATTTGGGGTAGGACGGGTCACGCCAGATCACCCATTAGGCGTTCTGACGGCTATATATAATGTTAACCAGCACTTACAGCCTGGCAACATAGGCATAGGCACTATAACTGATACTTAAGTATGCCTAGTTTTCAAATGCTAAAATGGGTGCTAAATTTCAAACCAACACTTCCTAAAAACCACAGTAAAAAGGTGTAAATTTAAGGAAGTTAATCGAGATCATTTCAAGTAAATGACCTTAACCTGAGTTTCACGTGACTTTGGCACCCACAACAATTAATGAGACAAACATTAGATAGTATATTTCACATGTTGTCACGTTGCTAATCACGAAACGACTATGGAAACACACAGAAGATGTGCGCTGACTTTCAATTGCTATTCTGGCCTGACATGATCTTGAGAAAAATAATCACAGGTTAAAGGTAATTTGGTTCAGGGATTTAAAATTCTCAGACAAGATGCAAAAATGATAAGGGCTATTTAATTTTCCGGGAAGTTGTAAAATTGATTAACTCCAGGGCACCAAAGAATCGTCGCAATCCTTCGCTTTGCCGCGATTTATTGGTGTAAAACAGCGGGCGCGGTCTACTTACCTCTACTTATATGTGTGGTGAGGGCTAATATTCATTTTATCTGTGTTGATGAATGTGCAACAATTTCTATATGAACTGAGACCAGTCCATATGAGTATGTTTTTCTCACGGACAATGACAATATAAAAACAATGCGAATAAAACCAAACGTTTCGGACAACAACGTGCCTTCGTCAGTGGAGAAAAATAAGTGTATAGGTTTAACATCGATGAGAACTAAATGCGGCACCGTCTCGGTCTGGCCAGCCGGGTTGCCGATAAAATACACAAATGTTTATAAGCTTCCATGATGTGCTTAAAAAACTGCTGAAAATATATCTTTAAAAAATAAAGATAACTACTTCATCGATGTTATCGAAAGAAAACATGTATGCCTAATTACTCATTTCTTGCCACTGACGGAGGCACTTTTTTGTGCGAAACGTCTGGTTTTATTCGTATTGTTATATTGTTATTGTATTGTCATTCCCTGTGAGAAAAAAAGGATAACTCTTCAGTTAGTAACCATAACAGGGAAACGGCTTATTGTAACACAATTCACTGTGTATACGAAACCTATAAGTCCCTAAAATAATTCTATATACAACTTTTAAAAAGATACAGCTTATACAGCTTGGGCATACAATTTTTTCTGCATTAACATAATATTAATTTATCTCCACAGAATATGGTAAATTAGTGCTGCTGAAGTTCGCTTTCGAAGCGTCTCCTCCAGACATTCTACAGCTCTCGTGCCATTTTGGATCACGGAACATGGCTGGGCGCAGGACACGTCAGGTCGTCTGCGAGCTTGGACGGACCACGTGACCACCTCCTCCACTCCCCCTCACTCCCGTCCCCTTCCCCAGCAGGGCGTCCGATCTAACCGCGCCCCAGGCAGTCGGCTCGGTCTGACCCTCCCCATGGTCGAGCCACGGCCCGGTGCCGCCTGAGTTTGTGCCGGGTGCAAAACTGGAGCAGTAACTAGCGCCGGAACTAGTAGTCAGCACGACCATCGTCAGATGGCAGGAGTAAATGGAATAAGCGGTTCCAGGTTTCAGAAGGAATGGGGCAGGAAAAAGCGCTGAAAACAATGTTTTGCTGATATAGCCATAAAAAGTTCACTGAATTAGGAGAGCAGCACATCAGTTTAAAGCCCTTCAGATGGTGGTTTTAATAAGCACACAATCATTTCCCAATTCGCCTCCGACGGTGTCACAGGCCAAGAATACGCTGAAATACTAGTGTGTACAGAAGCAACTGCGGGTCCCTGTACCACAGGCCTGTCAGGGGCACCACCGGCCTAGCAGGGGCACTACCAGCCCGCCAGGGGCACCACAGGCCTAACAAGGGCACCACGGGCCTGTGAGGGGCCCACAGGCTAGGCTTGTCAGGGGCACCCCAGGTCTGTCAGGGACACCAGAGACCTGCCAGGGGCGCCGCCGGCCTTGCAGGGGCACCATGGGCCTGTCAGGGGCACCAGAGGCCTAGCAGGTGTACCACAGGCCTTACAGGGGCACCTTGGGCCTGTCAGGGGCACCACAGTCCTGTCAGGGCCCAGGGGCACCAGCGGCCTAGCAGGGGCACCACAGGCCTGCCAGGGGCACCACCGGTCTAGCAGGGGCATCACCGGCCTCGCAGGGGCACCATGGGCCTGTCAGGGGCCCCACCGACCTCGCAGGGGCACCACCGGCCTCGCAGGCATCACGGCATCACGCAGGGGCACCTTGGGCCTGTCGGGGGCATCACGGGCCTGTTGGGGGCACTTTAGGCTTGTCAGGGGCACCACAGTCCTGTCAGGTCCCAGGGGCATCAGCAGCCTAGCAGGGGCACCCTAGGCCCGCCAGAGGCACCACAGGCCTGCCAGGGTCCAGGGGCACCACAGACCTACCAAGGGCACCACGGGTCTGTCAGGGGCACCTCAGGCTCCCTGCCCCCCCCCCCCCCCCGGATCCGCCAGTGATGCCACACCACGCGAAACACCGCCAACTCCCAGCTACCGCGCCATAAACACGTGCCAACAAGTCTTTTTTGAAGGTCGACTCCACTCGCGCAACTTTTGACTGACCCTCACTGCTACCATATTGCTTCCATATTATGCTGTGGAAGCTTTACTTCACCAAGTGGCTAAAAACCTCCATCAAGTATATTTTCTTAGCCAATTTTTTTACGTTTTGGGGGGGGGGGCAAACAGGCCACTTTAGGCCTTTGGGGGGGCCATGGCCCCCGTGGCCCCCCCCCCCTGGATCCGCCAGTGCTTACGCGATGTGATAGGTAATGCGTCAATAGGGTACATATTTACAAACTCAAGGTAGTAGGTACTATGCGGCTTTTGGACTTTGGAGCATAAAATTGGATTTGAAACTCTCACTTTTTGTTCTGGGGGCTTTAGGCATCTATGCCTGACTCCTGAGGATAGAGTGCAACTTTCTTAGATGCTGCGTGCCGTTGATCCTTCAGTCATGTAAGACACATTAATAAAGCATGCCTCTTACCTATATACCTACCTCAGCACCGGACAAACTCACAAAGAGAGCACAAATTGTATAAACCTCAAATGTAGAAATAGCCAAAAAGTCATCAAAAACATAATCGAAATGGCAAAAAAAGTCACAATGGAGAAAAGGTAAACAAAAGTTTAAACTTCAATTTAAATTCATCGAACCAGGCATGCCTGTACCTGATTTAGGTATAAAATAGGTAGGTAGCCGTTTTTACGACGGGCTATCTGGCGGCACGTAATTTGACCAAATCTGCGCCAAAACTCTTCTACAATAAATATATTCAAATCACGAATGTATTTCAGTGTTGTAATCGGAAATAATGTCTGATAATTTGAAGATAAAAAATGTATAGGCATCTGTGCAGCCCAAACTGATAACTTATGAGAAACACAGTAACACACTGAACCTAATTTGACCAAATCTGCACCTGATGCTCACCAAATGTGTACCAAATAGCCGTCGTCAAAACGGTTATTTTTATAGCCGTTTTCACGACGGCCATTTGGTCCATATTTGGCGCAGATTAGGTGCATATTTGGTAAAGAGTTGGTCAAATAAGGCTCATCGCGTTTCTTCGAAGTTGTCAGTTTGGGTCGCACAGATGCTTATAGACCAAATTTTTTTCAAATTATCAGATATTAGTTTCTATAAGAACACTGAAGTAAGTTCATGTTATCAAGAAATTTGTTGTACCTAAAAGGGATTTAGTGCAGATTTGGTCAATTTAGGTGCATTCGCCTGATAGCCCGCCATGAAAAGAGCTATTAGCCGTTTTGAAAAAAACGGCTTTTGGCGGTTTTGACGTTTTGCCAGATAGCCCGTCGTGAAAACGGCAAATAGCCGTTTTCACGACGGGCAATCTGGAAAAGGTACCTGATTTGACCAAATCTATACCAAATCTCTTTTACAATAAATATCTTGATATGATGAATTTATTTCAGTGTTTTAATCGACAATAATGTCTGATAATTTGAAAAATGAGGCATATAATCATTGGTGTAACCCAAACTGATAGCTTTTAAGCAGCACATTGAACCTAATTAGACCAAACCTGTACCAAATTTACACCTAATCTTCACCCAATGTGTACCAGATGGCTGTCGTGAAAACGGCTATTACCTGCGAATTTTTTATTAGACCGATGTTAAGTGTACCGATTCAATTCGTTTTGCAAGATGAATACAGAATACACGAATGATCATAATGATTTTCGTTTTAATGTCACCACTCGTCACACACCCACGGCTCGTAACGAATCCACGATCGATTCGCGAACATGCTTAGCGAAGCTGACTATTCTATTTTTATTTATCATGGAAATATGCGGTGTTTAGTATCACTGCTTATAAAACGTGCATCATTTGTCAGCCTATCTCGATTGCAAGCCATGACATCGGAGGCAAGTAGAATAACCCTGGCACTGAACTGTGAGCACTGTCGGGAAATCCGGTACAGAGCCGACTCCATCACGTGACCATCCCAAAACACTGCGCCAAGATCGCCAACAATCGCCTGTTTGATCGTACGATGATCGAAACTGAAGCACGTCAAGATATTCTGTCAGCGTCGCTCTCCCATCTCTGAAGCCCAGCAACCTTCACGTCAACAGGGAGCCGTCAGCCGCATTCTTAGAGCGCACAAACGACCGACCCATAAGCTCGCAATGCGTCACTTTCTGTATCGAAATCACACCACTGGCCACTGCAAGTGCTCAGGCTAGCTCGTCAGAAGACCGCGCTCCGGACGCCGCCGGCCGCGCCGCACGGCTCCGGAGGGGACGTGCGGACTGGCCGGGGGCGGAGGGCGGCCTCCGGCGGCCGCAGACCGGCGACTGGCAGTGAGTTAGCATTGAGTGGCGACTAGAGAAGTCACGGCGGGCGGGCCGACCGGCCCAGTCGGGCGTCTCGCCGCGCCCCGGCGGCGGGCCCCGGCGGCGGCTGAGTTCGGCGGCGGCGGCGGCAGCGCGCTATCACAGGGCGCTGCGCGCGCTCACGGTCCGCGGATACACACTTGACAGCGGGACACGCGCGAGCGCAAGTTGCCCGCCTTGAGCGTGGTGCTGCGCGGCTTCTCGAACTGGTTGTCGTCGTCGATGGTGGCCAGCCAGAAGGAGAACTTGTTGGCAAAGTAGTGGCACGTGCCGCGCGCGCCGCTGCACTCGATGAACGGAGTGGCGCGGAAGTCCTCGAGACACGAGCCGGGTGAAGAGAGGGACTGGCCGCCGCCCTCTGCTCCGGCGGCCGTGTGCTAGGGAGGGAGGGACACCACAGGTCAGGGCGGAGCAGATCACGAGGATCGGGTAATCAAACATTTTGGAGCAGTGCGAATGTGACGAACACAAATATACCCTGGCTCCGAAAAGTATTCCTCGGATGTGTGTTGCCGGTTAATTTCTGAATCCCATTTGCCGTTTGATGCATCATAACAAGATCCTGGTTCACATGCCCTTTTCGAGTACTCACCATGGCAAACGAGTATCCAATCCAGAGGCCCTCCCAGCCTAGTGGACACTCCGGAATGTTGAGCGACTGGCTGTGAATGGCTATCACGTTCGACGGAGCTTCACAGACCACACACCTGAAATAGTGGCCGGCCACAAGTCAGCGAGGTGACTGGATCAGAGTGTCATCAGCATACAAGACGATCCCTGGTCTGTACCTAGCTGAAGGACTTCTAGCCTGGCGATGACGTTCGTTTGTTCTGGTAGACCTTCTTACAGCAGGACAAAGCATCCCGACCCGGGATCTCATGGAATACCAGGTAATTTAAACGGTCAGCTTACCTCCAACAACCCCCTATCCATCTCAGCAGGCAGAATATGCCCAGTTTAAACCTGAGCTAGTTTCCTTTAATAGCTTATCCAGAAGACCAACGTCACAAATCAGATTGACTCCCTCTCAGACTGTATACCTGGAGATGTACTGGCGAATGGCCGTGTCGGCCACGGGCATCATAGGGATGGGCGCGTTGGTCGACAGCCAGTAGGACTTGTCGTTGCGACTGGCGTAGTTGCACACGTTGTTGAGGTCGCAGAACATAAACGGCATGGTGCTGAACCGCTTCACGCAGGAGCCGGCGAATCCTGAGAGGAAGACAGGGGGACGTGATCATATGGACACGGCAGTTGGAGTTAGATCGAATATTCACGCTGATCAGGTCAAGCTAGTCTGTTGGGGCGATTCCCAAATAGCCTGGTAAAAGCATCGTGCATGGATGGTAGGGTAAGTAACGGGTCAGGACGAGTGAAATGATGTCCAGGTATTCGGGTTATCTTGAGAAATTTGTCAATAAGCAAATTATGAAGTGGGAAAAGAGCACCACTATAAGATGATGGAACAACTTGTAGAACAGGTAGGTACATCCCGCAATATTTATGCGACAACTTTGCCAAGTAAAGACCGCATCTCTGAATATCCCAAACCATAAAAGCTCACGCAGGCTAGTCCCCCGGTGTTTGCGGAGCCCGCGCTGCCCGGTGTGGGTGACATACCGCAGCCCTGGTGGTTTGGTGACCACTGGTCACCGGTCACACACCGCTCACGTACCGAGGTCCTGGTGGTTTGGTGACCACTGGTCACCGGTCACACACCGCTCACGTACCGAGGTCCTGGTGGTTTGGTGACCACTGGTCACCGGTCACACACCGCTCACGTACCGAGGTCCTGGTGGTGGGCCTTCTGGTTGCCCTCGATGTAGAGCAGCGAGTAGCCCTCCCACAATCGGATATGGCCGGGCTCGCAGCGCGGCACCTGCTGGGTCTGACTGTGGCGCACCAGCAGGATACCCGTCAGGTAGTCCGGGGTGTCCGTACACTCCAGGCCCGGCTCACCCTTCTCGCCATCAAAACCTGGGGGACCCTGGCGGCGGAAGAGAGGGAGGGTCAGAGGAGGCGGATGATGCCGCTAGGGGAGCGGGGGCTGCTTACAAACGTGGTCAGGTGATGTGTTGTGGTGCAGGTGGCCTACATGCCACAGAAGGTGAGGTTCTTGGGACCTGTATAGTTCGAACGGCTTCGAGTTTGGAAAGTGGCGAGAGGCGTCAAAGCTACGAATACGTGACTTTCATTGACTTCATTCAACATCTAGTCTGTTCCATGTCAAGCTTGCGGCCGAAGTGCTCTGCTGATAGCAGTGAGTGCTTTCTGTACATACAGCTCACAGATTCAAAGACGCAAATCTTTAAACGGAAGAGCGAACTCCCGAAGAAACTCCGACCGCAAGCTTGATATGGAACAGACTATAGCTCAGGCTGATTATCTACCTAATCAGCTCAGCATTTGGCTCACCGGCGGTCCGCGGAGTCCGTCTACGCCCGGCTCGCCCTTCTGGCCGTCCTGTCCGGGCAGACCGGGCAGGCCGTCCTGGCCCGGTAGTCCCATGTCGCCCTTGGGTCCCGGCCGGCCGGCCGGCCCGTCCAGGCCCGGCGGGCCGGGCACACCAGCCCTGCCCGGCAGGCCGGGCGGGCCCTGGTCACCCTTCTCTCCGGGAAGACCGCTGCGAGCCGCCTCACCCTTCTGCCCGGGCAGGCCGGCCGGTCCGACGGGGCCGCGCGGTCCCGGCGGGCCGTCCGTGCCCGGCAGCCCACGCAAGCCCTCCGGGCCGGGCTGTCCCGGCCGGCCGGCGTCACCCTTGGCTCCCGGCAGACCGGGCAGACCGTCCTGACCAGCGATACCTGTGGGTGGGAAACGTAGGCGTCAGCAAGGGACAGAAATGCGGGTCAGGTAACGCATTGCGAAGGTAAATAATCGAAAAACGTTAGATCACCTTAGCCACAATGCGGTGAGTGTGAACCAATGTCATACTATGGAACACAAATTGCTAAATCGCTTTCTTTTTAGTACAATGATCAGTGACGAATTCGGAACTAAAGCATGATAAGATTAGATTGTGATATGGTTGATCATTCGAGGCTATCTTACTCAGCATAAGCATAAAGTCAGCTCACAGTTATCCTCTTAGCATGACGAGCTCACCTGGCCGTCCCTCCTCTCCCTTCATTCCGGGCGATCCGGGCACTCCGGGCAGGCCACGGTCGCCCTTCAGTCCCGACAGGCCCGGCTGTCCGGGCAGGCCGGGATCCCCCGGCCGGCCGTCCTCTCCGTCCTGGCCCGGGAACCCTGGCAGACCACTGTCTCCCTTCGGCCCGGTCCGTCCGGGCGGTCCGAGCGGGCCCGGCAGGCCGTCAGGGCCCGGCAGACCGACGCTGCCGCGGTCTCCCTTCTCGCCGGTGGCGCCAGGAGCGCCGGGCCGACCGTTCTTGCCCGGCATGCCCGGCAGACCCTTTTCTCCCTTGATGCCGAAGCCGGGCGAGCCCTCGGGACCGGCCGGGCCTCGGTCGCCCTTGGCGCCGGGGGCACCATCCAGTCCGGCCAGGCCCGGGAAGCCCGGCGAGCCGCGGTCTCCCTTGGCGCCCTCCGGTCCGGGCAGTCCGGGCGGTCCGGGGAAGCCGGGCCGGCCCTCGTCTCCCTGCGGCCCGATGTCGCCCCGGTCACCCTCGGGGCCGGGAAGGCCGGGGGAGCCCGGCAGGCCGGCGTCGCCTTTCGGTCCGGTCTGGCCGGGGAAGCCGGGTGGGCCAGCCGCACCCTCCCGGCCGGGCTCTCCCTTTGCGCCGTCCAGGCCGGGGAATCCGGCGTCGCCCTTCTGACCCTCGGGTCCGGCGCGGCCAGGCAGACCCTGCGGGCCGACCTCTCCCTTGGCGCCCGGGTTACCGTCCAGACCAGGCAGACCCGGAGTGCCCGGCTGACCCGGCACACCCTGCCGACCAGAAGCAAACGGTTAAGTCCAGCAGAGACATCGATAGAGTGGGCATCGTTTTAATGAATTGAATCGACACGGAGACGGTTATAGCATCTAGCGTAGAAGCTTATTAGTCGTGGCAACGGGAGAGGCTTTGTTAAAGAACATCACAGGGCGTTTATTGCTGATTTCTATTGTGCAGCGCTGTACAGCAAGGTTCCGAAACATGTAAAAAAGGTGTTAACTGTTAAGCTTTACGAGTATGGCTATTGCATCTACCGATCATCTTACCCGATCTCCCTTCATCCCGGGGAAGCCCGGCAGACCCGTCTCTCCCTTTTGTCCGGGCAGTCCGTCGCGAGCGGGCGTTCCGTCCGGCCCGCGGTCTCCCTTCAGTCCGGGGAAGCCGGGCTGGCCAAAGCCGGTGTCACCCTTTTGTCCCTTGACGCCGGGGCTGCCGGGCAGGCCGTCCAGGCCGGGAGGGCCGCGCGCTCCGGGCAGGCCCGGATCGCCCTGCTCGCCCTTCTCCGAGGCGCTGCCGGCCTCGCCCTTCTGTCCGGGGAAGCCGGGCAGGCCGATGGAGCCTTTCTCGCCGGGGAAGCCTCGCAGTCCGGGTGGGCCGAGCAGGCCGGGCTGGCCCTCGTCGCCCTTCTGACCGGGCAGGCCGTCCATGCCGGGCAGGCCGGGCTGGCCGCGCGGTCCGACCGGCCCCGGCAGGCCCGGCTCGCCCTTGAATCCGTCCAGGCCCGGCAGGCCGTCCTGTCCAGGAGGACCCTGCGGCCCGTCCAGGCCGTCGCGGCCGGCATCGCCCTTCATGCCGGGCATGCCGGGCAGCCCAGCGTTACCCTTTGGTCCTTGGAAACCGGGTAGGCCCGGATTACCGTCACGGCCCCGCTCGCCAGGCTCTCCTGCACGACAGAGAACCAGACTGTCAACACTCGAGGCGATTCCCTGTGCGATAGCCCAACACTCACACATGTCAGCAGATGTACAACGTACAGGTGTTCGTAGCTTAACACTTAGGAGTAGCAAATACGATGTTAACATATGCAAATACGGTCAGAATTGTTACTCCCATGGTCTCTGGCCACAGACACGTTTCTGGGCCATTATCACCAAACATCAACGAACATGACCCCGTCGACGCTTTATCTCACGGTGAGCTACTCACCCTTGATGCCGTCTCGTCCTGGCTCGCCACGAAGTCCCGGCGCTCCGTCCCGACCGGCCGGTCCTAGGTTTCCCTTCTCTCCGGGCAGGCCAGGCAGCCCGTCCAGGCCTGGAGCTCCCGACTCGCCCTTCATTCCGGGGAAGCCGGGTAGGCCGGCCTCTCCGGGGAAGCCGTCCTGGCCGACGGGGCCGGGCTGGCCCTCCTCTCCCTTCATGCCGGGTAGGCCGGGCAGGCCATCCGGACCGGGCGTCGGCAGACCGGCATCTCCCTTCTCGCCGGGCTGACCGTCGGCGCCCTGCCGGCCCGGCAGGCCGTCCAGACCGCGGCCGCCATCGCGACCCTGCAGGCCCAGGTCGCCCTTTTCGCCGCGCCTGCCGGGAAGGCCGCGCGGCCCGCGCGGTCCGGGTGGACCCGGCGGGCCAGGCACACCGTCCCGGCCGGAAAGGCCCTGGTCGCCCTTGTCGCCACGGACGCCCCTCGGTCCGTCCGGACCAGTCAGGCCGGGGTCTCCCTTCTCACCAGCACGACCCTTGATCAGCGGCGCGGAAGAGTCCAGCCGACCTGAAATCAGACACAAAAAGTTTCAGGGACCATATAAATCACAATCAAAACAGTTCAAGCTAGACAACTGCTTGCAGGTGACCAGTAATACATATTTACGGAAAGTATTACTTTGACATAGCTTAAAACGTTGATATCCATAAGCGGTAGTTTCTCATTACCTGGTTCTCCCTTCTCTCCCTTGAAGCCGCGATCTCCCTTGGCGCCAGTAATGCCGTCGTCTCCCTGTCTTCCCGGTTCTCCCTTGATGGCCAGGCCGTCCAGACCGTCCAGGCCGGGCGCGCCGTCCAGGCCCGGCGAGCCCGGGAAGCCGCGCGCGCCCTTGTCACCCTTGGTGCCGGGAGTTCCGGGCAGGCCCGGCTGGCCGGGCTGCCCGCTCTCTCCGGGTCGGCCGGTGGCGCCCGGCAGTCCGGGCAGGCCGTAATCGCCCTTGTCACCCTTGGGGCCGACAAGCAACGCGGCCGGAACGAACGCGTCGCGACCCTTTTCTCCCGGCAGGCCGGGCAGACCGGGCTCGCCTGATTTGCCCTGTAGAGAGACACAGCTGGGCTAAGTGCTGGGAGACGGGTTTCTGACAGGTAATCGCTTAGTAATGAGTATAGCAGCTGTCAATAAAGAAACGTTACGATGAAATGACTTGTTTTTCGAGATCCGAATCACAATCCAATCAGTGACGTTATTTTACATCAATATATCGTTTGTAAGTCGCGCTGCTCACCTCCGGTCCCGGGGCGCCGCTGGCGCCGGGCAGGCCGTCCTCGCCGGGCGGTCCGGGCCGGCCGGGAGGGCCCACCGGACCCCGCAGACCCGCCAGGCCCGGCAGACCGTCGCGGCCCTGCTCTCCCTTCTCACCGACCGGACACTCGAGACACTGGTCGCACTGGCCGCCCGAGTCGCCCTTCAGGCCGGGCAGGCCGGGAAGTCCGGGCTGGCCGGGCTGGCCGTCCCTGCCGGGCTCCCCGGGGCCTCCGGGCACTCCGGGCCGGCCCGGAATTCCGTCTGTGGTGTTACCGGGAGCTCCGGGAGGCCCGGTGTAGCCGCGCTCACCCTTCAGTCCCGGGATACCGTCCAGGCCGGGCCGGCCGTCCTCACCGGGAATTCCCTGTGGGAACGGCACGGGAACGGGGTGTAAACGTTGGCAAGTTGTCAGACGTCCATGCGTTATGCTCGTAGCATTGGTATATCCGATTTTGAACAGGCGATTTTTTTTTTTCAACCAAGCACATGAATCTTAAGAGCAGAATGAAACCTACCCGTTCTTAATGACACACATCGGAAAAGTGATAACGCACCGCAATGGAGGCTCCTTTGGGTCCGGGCACTCCGGGTCGCCCGGGCGGCCCCCTCTGTCCAACATGTCCAGGAGGGCCGACGGGGCCCTCAGCGCCGTCCAGGCCCGCATCGCCCTTGTCGCCCTTGATTCCGGGAGGTCCCTCGGGCCCGGGCAGGCCGGGCAGGCCGATACTGCCCGGGGGACCGATCGGACCGCGGGGTCCGGGCGTGCCCGGAAAGCCGTCAGTGCCTGCAGAGGCAGAGGGACGATCAGCTGGGCGGCACACAGTCCGGCGCTGTGCAACGGGAGCCAAACCATAGAACAGGACAGGTCAAGGCTCATAACGAGAAACTGGTCTGTTACACGTCTATTTACATTTTACAATACCTATTTTGGGTTAGAACTTAGAAATAAAGGTAATCGGATATTGCTGCAGTAATATGCACTTGCATACATTATGCAGGGTCGGCAAGGTGTAAAACGTAACAGATTAGCTGAACACACAAACCCGGCATATGGAAAACCCGAATCCGCAGCAAGTCCGACTGTTTGAGCTAAGGAGGCCAGTCTGTGTGCCGTTGAGCCGCGCGCCCTCAGTGCGCACCTTTGGGTCCGGGCCGGCCGGGGAAGCCTCGCTCTCCCTTCTCGCCCTGCTCTCCTCCGGGCCCTCCTCCGGGCTGTCCTTTCGGACCATCCAGACCGCGCAGACCGTCCCGGCCGTCCGGTCCCGGCTCGCCCTTGGCTCCGGGCCGGCCGTCCAGACCGTCCAGACCCGGCTCTCCTTGGTCACCCTTGAAGCCGATCGGTCCAGGGGGCCCAGACAGACCCTCCTTGCCCTGTGAAAATGGTGAAACATAGTTGTTAGTGGGTCGGGAATACGTGAGGGAACGACACAAACACACAGATTATGAGAGAGATGTTGCACTTTGCAGGCTAGCAAAGCCCTGTGTCGCAGGTGACGAGACAGAATAAACTTATCACAGAAACTTTGATTAGCTTACACTAAATATAGACTTTATACATGGGACAATACACCTGATGCAATAGCTTCTCGGTCGATCGCGTATCCATTATAGAGGTCGCGTCTGTGTCCTCCGACTTACGCGCGGTCCTGGCGGGCCGGGAAGGCCCTTCTCTCCCTCCATTCCCAGCAGGCCCTGGGGGCCGGGAGCGCCGTCCCGACCCTGAGGTCCGGGAGGGCCCGGCATGCCGCGCTCACCCTGGCACCGAGAGACGAGGTCAGGACATCACACATCGGTCACAGGTCACACCGGAAGACAAACTGACGGTATATTCTTCTGACGAGGAAGGAAATCAGCTTAATTGACCTTTAACAACGTCTATAGCAGCGGTACGACGTCATATTAATTATTAACAGTATTAACGGCAGTTTTACCTTTTGCAAAAGTAGGTATGGATCAATAGTGAAAGATGGTAGTTAGCAGTTACTGTATTTTTTTTTATCAAGGTGCAGAAATATACAAGTGCCATAAATTACCTTTGTGCACTACTTATTTGTTCAGAACCAAGTAAACTCTTTTAAAAAAAGTGAATAGGAGGACAATGACTTACCTGAATCCTGAGAGACCTGCTAAATGTAAAAAGCGATGTTAGTTAACATGCCACAAGCAGGATGCCGTCTCACCTTAGCAAAAGCGTTTGCAGGCTAGCCGCGCAATTTTTGAAACAACATTCACGTTCTACGAGAATTCTTGTTATAATTACGACGCCATTCAAAACATGAAGACAACCGATTGTCAGCACCCTAAAGAAATCCCTATTGCTTCCCTCATCCTTCATTTTACCAGGACAATTCTGTAAAACGGATAAGCTGAGGGGCTGTATGCCGGCCAAAAAATAAATGCAGCTGAATGCCTTTTCAATCAAGTGGGCTTCTATTGCCAAGAAGGCATTAAAAAGCTCTAGCTATCACATTCTGAAGTCAAAAAGGTATAGAAATATAACGTTGCACGTTGCAGGTAGGTATGTATTGCAATTTGCATGCATGAAGCTTATAATGATGCGGGCAAGGTAGTCATATTCAAAGAGAAAACTAGCAACAAATTCAAAGCGTTCACGATAAAAAACATACATAGCAGAAAAGAAGAGTGAGGAGAATGGACAAGACAGAAAGTAAGGGAGAGAGAGAGAGAGGTAGAAGGAGAAGGAGAGGGAGAGGGAGAGGAAGAGGAAGAGGAAGAGGGAGAGAGAGTGAGTGAGTGTGAGAGAGAGAGAGAGAGGGAGAGAGGGAGAGAGAGAGAGAGATAGAGAGAGAGAGAGAGGGAGGGAGAGAGCTGATAGAGTAGAAAGAAAAGACAGCGAGAGAATAAAACATGGAGATAGGCCGGGACACACTTTTAGCTGTGTGAACAAGACTTGACTTTCATATGAACAGACTACAGAGATATGAACATATTCTACGAGTAAATAACACACAGAGCTAGTCACAATTTCCACCGCTAGATGGCAGTATCTCGGCCGATGGCCATGCCGGTGCTCATGCGTGCAGAGTGTGTCACTCGCTCCGAGCTGTCTGTCTCACCTCGGGCCCGGGGAGGCCCGGCGGGCCCCGCACCACCTCTGTGGAGCAGTTGCGGCCCAGCGGCTGCACGGAGGGCCCCCGGCTGGGGGGACCGGGCGGGCCCGGATCGCCCTTCTGACCTCGCGCGCCAATGATGCCGACTCCCATCTCTCCCTTTTGTCCGAGCGCTCCGTCACGTCCTGGCAGACCCTGGTGCGGAGCGGGCCCGGTTAGCGCGGCTCCCGGCGGCGCATGCAGCCCGTTAGACACCCGTTGGCAGGCAGCGCCTCGCTCCGACTGCTGCGATTAGTACGGCCAGTCGCACCCAGTCCACCACATCACTCAGCCGGTTAGTGCCCGGTCAGCGCGGCCCGCCGGCTCCACTGCTACTCCTGCTGAGGGTTAGGTTAGTCTCTGTGACCCGACGAGTCTCCGGTGGACCACCGAGCTCCCAGCAGCGCCGTCCGTAGCACCGGCGTACCCCAGAGCAGCCGCTCCTAAGCCAGCGCGACCTAGGCGCCGCGTGCCGCTCGCCGCCGGTACCTCTGGTTAATAAACCTCCCGCAGCGCGGCGCTACCGTCGCCGCTCACCTTCTGGCCGGGGATGGTATAGGTGGTGTTGGTCCCGACCTGTTCGCAGTCCTCCCCGGTACACTTGCCTGGGCCGCAGGGGCCGCAGCCCGGCTGACCCGGCGAGCCCTTCTGGCCGGGCGGGCCCATGATACAGACACCCTCCTCTCCCCTCGGGCCCTGATAGCCTGGGGGGCCGGGCCGACCCTACGCAGCAGGTCACAGTGAGGTCACATCGGCTCCGGGCCAGGTCAGGTCAGGTCATGGTGGAACGGTAGGAAGACAAGCACATGGAAACATACAGACAGGCAAGCAGGACAACTATTGCTATATAGATCAAATGTTAGATTAGGTAAGTACAATTATTCAGGGTACAATCCGGTGGCGCATCTTCTCTTAGTCAAGTTCGAGCGCCAATGGCTCGTACTGAGCTCCTCATGACATTACTGCTGTTATCGTGGACCCATATTATGTCGATGAGTTGATAATCATATAATCTTTTCTGAGCTTATTCAAGAGAACAAGAAGAGCCACTGTAATGAGCAATTGAGAGAGTAGACACAGACGCGTGCACAGCGGAAACTGCAGGTGGAACTTTGCAGCTTTGGGACGAGTCACATTTCAACAGCAAAGACAGGATGTCCGAACAAAGACATGCAGGCGAGGCCGATAACGTGATAGTTTCGTGCATCGTGTATGTCATTCACAAGTGTGTAGTCAATAATAAGAGCGCTACCAATCGAGTAGGTATAACGGACAATCTCGTAACGGGTGAGGATTGACTGGATTGTTTGCAGCTATGCTCATGCAACGGTTCAAAGCGAAAAGAAAAGAGTTGCACTGGGACCAGGGCTGCGGAGTCGATGGATTTTCGGCGACTCCGACTCCGACTCCGACTCCAGCTTTCAAAAACCAGCTCCGACTCCGACTCCGACTCCGGGCAGAAATGTCGACTCCGACCGACTCCAACTCCCGACTCCGACTCCGCAGACCTAGCAGGGCTGCGGAGTCGACAGATTTTCGGTGACTCCGACTCCGACTCCGGCTCGGGTTTCTAAAATCGACTCCGACTCCGACTCCGACTCCGGTCACAACTGTCGACTCCGACCGACTCCGACTCCGACTCCGACTCCGACTCCGCAGCCCTGACTGGGACGACCCTTGCCTCTACTGAAAAATGATGGTCCTATCTCGAATACAGGGGAAATAGGTAGCTGGACTTGACAAGCCGTGAGAGGAATCGTGCTGTGTGTTGAAACAAGACATAACGAAAAAGTTTGAGACATCCGAAAGGAAGGACTGAGATATCGAATATGTTTGATACTGGAGCTGAACAACCGTCTTGTTATCAGTCCAGCAAATGTTTGAATTAATACTTAATTGCTCGGCATCCAACAGTCTGCTCAAACGATTGCATGGATTACGCCGGAGTCAGATCTTGTTCACGCATTTGTCACGCATAGCAGTGACATCTACGAGTGTCATGCTAGTCGCTGGCTTCTGCTCCAGCCGAGAGCTGTCGGCACGGATGGCAAAGTCACAATCCATCATGGCTGCCTCTTTCGTGCACTGGTGCACTGTGCAGCGTGCACATGACTCCCACGCTGTGCATCGTGCATCGCACGCCTCACGAACCCGCCTCAGCCGAAGGTCATTCATCGGCCGCCTTCGAAGGCTGCAGTGAGTACCTACATACACGGACAGCTCGGGTTTCCATCGGCCCTGGAGTCGACCGGCGGTCCCAGCCGCGGCCGACGGCAGGCACGCAACCCTCAGACGGGGGCGGGGGCGGGGGCGGGGGCGGGCCGAGTCCGACCGCGGCCCACATCGGGGCGTGCAGCTCCAGTTGCGCCGGCAGGTCCCACAAACAGGAGGAGGTCTGGGACGCGGCGCGGCCGGCGGCTCCGATCCGCGTGTGCACCTCAGGCAGGTCCGGGCAACGACTCCCGGTTATCGCCGTTTCCAGGCTGTCCAGCTGGCTCCCGAGTCCCGACTAACGCCGTTCCCAGACTAGCCTCGACTTCCAGTTTCCCGGCTCCCGAGAAAGTTTCAGTGTCCCGAGGAGTGGACCACTAAACATCTATCGAGGCGGAATGGCTTTAGAAAAGGAGGGAAGCGTCTCACCGGAGGGATTAGCTATAAATGCTTCTCATAAGATATGGACGGTCTATGAACGCTTCCCATAAGATATGGTTGGTAGAACTCTTGTACCTAATCCAAAGCTCGAGTCGGGGCCGCCGCGGTTCTGTTTGTTCTTCTCCACCCTTCTCGTTATCGCCCCCCCTCCCCCTCCCCCTTCCCTGGACCCCACTGGCTCGGTGTCGCGTCGTGTCACGTCGGCCCGCTAATCACGATTCAACGTCCCGTTAATGCTTGATTAGCGTGTCCTCCGATCAACTCCTCTCCCTGTTTGGCTGTGAAAGGCCGTCAACACCCGGGTTTATCTTCGCCTCCAGCTCTGTGCGAGCCACCGCCAAACACCCCAAAGGAACCAAGGGTATGTGTATTCATACTAGATTATGCGCGCGTGTCCCGTTCACAGGGTTCACAGGCGGTACCTGTCAGCACGTGGGTTCCACGGCTCGGGTCCTGTAGGTACTCCGCCACACACGATGGGGGCCGGACCGGACACTGGGCCGCCTGTGGCCGCAGCCGCCGGAAACCGCGCCAAGTCGTGCCGACTGAGCGCGTCGGCCGCGCCGTTCTCTTTCGTTGCCACGTACTCGACGGATACAGCGAACTCATGGAACGCCGTCCAGAACAGGGGCTGACGCAGCAGCGCTATAATCAGTGGCGACCCCGACCATCCCCTCCCCCAGACCCCCACCACCCCCATGTTATCGGACCGGATCAGCACGTGGTGCCCGCCCCATCTCTCTCCCCACACCAAACATGCCACCATGACGGGGATGAGCTCCAGCCACGTCATGGATGGCGCGGCGTCACACTGCCGCTCGCGGGGCCACTCCATCATCCACCATTCGTCTCCGTGCCACGCCCCCATCCCCCGACGTGAGCTGTCCGTGTTCATCACAATACAGTGGTCGTACTCGCCCGGTGGCGGGGGGGGGGGGGGAATGCCGTACCACATCGGCAAAAAGTGGCCCACCACCGTAAAACCGCCCGTACATCGGCCGTGATCCGCACCCGGCGGTTCGGTCCGCTAACAGAGTGCGCCGCATCTAGCAGGCGTCTAGTGAACGCCCTCCCCGGCGGGACGTACTTGCTGGCGTGCACGAGACGTCCCACCACCGACAGCAGTTCCCGCTGTGTGCATTTCTGTCGCCCGAGCAGTGTCTTTAGTAACTCCTGGGTGCCCACTAGCTTGGCGTCTGGCAACGCTAGGGTGTCTAGGGTGTTTCTGTGTCTATCACAACCCGAGAAGCTCCATCCGTGTTGATGGCGGGGCGCGTTTCCGCTCGGCCAGCGGCACGCCCACTTCCGCACAAATGTCTCGCAGTCTCACATACGCTACGTCGGCACTGTCCGATACTCCGCGCCCTACCCCGAAGAAGTCATCTAAATAATTGCGTATATACACGTCCGATGTCTGATCCTGGAACACATAGGCGCAAGCATGTGGCAAAATCATTGAAAACCCATGGACTGCTTCTAGCCTCAATGGCAGACAAACCTGGTAGTATAGTAAACCGTCCCAACAGAACCCCAGTAGCGCCCACTGGCCGGGCCGGACAGGTATAAGTTTGAATGCATTTTTAACATCGGTCTTGAACAGCAAGGTCCCGGCGCCTCCAGCTAGGAGAATCGACCGCACGGCCTCGTCGAATGATGTGTACGTCACACGAAACTCGTCTGGGTCTAACCCGGCGTTGACCCCGACATCTCTCGACTGTGATAGATCTAAAATGAGCCGCACTTCGCCATTAGGTTTATCGCGCGCACTCAACGGGTTCACTATCATGTTCGGCAGCGGTGGAGCATGGAACGGTCCCCGTGTCGTACCGTCCGCGACCTCTCGCCGAATGGCTGCCGTCACCCCGGCACGGCGTCGTTCGGCGGACTGATTGTTTTTCGCGAAACGGCCCCGCGCCGCACCGCGGTATCCAATGTCAGCCCCGTGCCGGAACCGCCCAACGACAGTTTCTCTGGCATCGACCATTGTCCACAGCCTGTCGCTTGGCTTCCACCCTTCTGCACTGTCGACGGCGTAGGATCATGCACGAGTCTAATTATGAATACGCCCCCGAAGTCACGCCTAGGATCGCAGTACCACAGCCTGCCGTGCCGGGCTATCTGCTGTTTGCACTTGCCTGACCGGCCCGCCGCGCCGGCGCCGCGGTGTGCGTTATGAGTCACTCGAGGTCGTCTTTCCGCGCGTCCGCCCGCTCGGCCGCACGTTCCCTTATCCATGTCGCCGCACCCCCCCCCCTTTCTCTCTCTCTCTCTCTCTCTCTCTCTCTCTCTCTCTCTCTCTCTCTCTCTCTCTCTCTCTCTCTCTCTCTCTCTCTTCCTCTCCCTCCTCTCTCTCTCTCTTCCGCCCTCCATCCTCTCTCTCTCTCTCTCTCTCTCTCTCTCTCTCTCTCTCTCTCTCTCTCTCTCTCTCTCTCTCTCTCTCTCTCTCTCTCTCTCTCTCTCTCTCTCCTCTCCTCTCCTCTCCTCTCCTCTCCTCTCCTCTCCTC